AGCACCCTGTAATCTAAGACAAAAAACAATAGTTTTAAAAGAAAATCTTTATAAATTCACCCACGTGATTTTTTTTCATTTCTCCACAAACAAATCAATATGACGACGAAGACAAAATAGGAGTGACGTCGTGTAAAGGGTAAATAAAAACAAAATAAACCTATTTAAGGAGCTAGGACATTACAAGAATAATCAAGAATACACTAGATAACGATTGACATTGCAATTTTTTTGAAGATGAGAGCTGACTGGGAAAGCAAGGAGCCGGAAGTGAGTTCCACAAACGAGAAGTACGAGAAAAGAAACTGTTAACATAGAACTTACGGTTACCATCCGGGCAATTAAAATTTAAATTGATGAAACTTTGTTGCGAATCAATTACTGCTTTTAAATTTATAGTGTTTAGGTAGCATAGCGAAGAGGTCAATGAATGTCAACGAATTCGAGAAAGAAAGAAAAAAAAAACTATTCAAAGGAGAGGATAATAAAAGAACAGGCATTATGAAGACAGAAGATAACGATTGACATTTTTAAGACATTAAAAATAAGTATCAATAAGACAGTAGATAACGATTGGTATTTCAACATTTTTGAAGATCAAAGTTGACTGAGAAACAAATAAACGAAAGAGAGTTCTACAGAGAAATCCGATAGAAGAAAGTATTAGCATAAAACTTACGATCTAGCCATTTTATCTGTGAAATGATGAGACCTTACGGCCAATCTAGTACTGCGCTTAAATTCATAAAGTCAAGGTACCATAGACGAACAGTCATCGGAACAATTACCTTGAAAGTATTTAAAGAAATGTATACGTTACTGCAGTGAGAAAAAAAACTGAAGGCAAGGCCAGGACCAAAGTCATTGTGGGATCGTCTTTGGATTTGATCAAGCAGCTCTAAATATATAGCAGGAACAACAGACCATACGTGGAAGCAATATGCAAGACATGGACGAATGTTATACTTATAAATATGTCAGATAATTACCGGCAAGAAAAATTCTAATAAGTACAGTTCAAGTCATGTTGTCGTGGCTCCTGATACAACATTCGTGATTGAGTTACGAACAGTTTTACATGGAATCCCACATTTTCGTGGAGGACCACCTACTCTGTCGCTCATTTGTTCTCGTGTTTTATGAGTTCTTTTTTCGAGACGAAATACTTTTCAAAATAGCAGTGGATACTCAACGACATTGTAGGTCCTTCATTGAATTTTATCAAGGATCTCTAACTAAAGTCATTGTATCTAAACTTTTGAAGATCAAATTTGACAGGGAAGCAAGAAGCCGGAATAAAGTTCCACAGGCGAGAAGTGCGATAGAACAAACTAGCAACATAGAACTTACGGTTACATCTCGTCATTTCTATTGTAAAAGCATGAGACCTTGCCGCCAATCTTGTACTGCGTTAAAATTCAAGAAGTCTAGGTACCATGGAGGAAAGATCAGCAGAATAAGAGAAAGAAAAACAGCAAGAATAACACCTCTGTTGTTATGGGTCCTTACCCATAATAACATAATGGACTATTCCATATGTAATAAATACTGCGCCTCCAGAGGGAGCAGGAAGTTCAGTCTGAAGTCTGGTGTGAACTCCGTCAGGAGTCTGTCAGTCAGTCAGCGCGAGCGAGTCAGTCAGTCGAGTCAGAGGCAGTCCGAAACAGAGTCGCGTTCAGACAATTATTACTAAACCTGATTGTTCGTACTAACACTTTCTACTTCTCTGTATATAATACTGTTTGTAATATATCTGTGTTTTTTCATATACGTGTTCGAGTTCTTCTTTATTTGTCTACCTTGGACTATCACTTTGGTACAAGGTACCGGACCATAACATCTTTCAAATTACCAAAAACAAATTTCACTGCAAGGAAAATTGATAAAACAAACTTCAATGCAAAGAAATGTATTGCTATTGTATATTTCTTAAAAGAATATGTAAATATTAGGTTGGTGCAAAAACAATGACGTAAGAATGTCGTTTTTTAACGTTAAAAATACGTCAAAAAACGACATTATTACGTCATTATTTTTGCACCAACCTAATATTATTAGAGATTCTTGATAAAATCCGAAGAAGGATCTGCAATGTTATTGGACCTGGCCTGGCATCCTGGCTTCAGACCCTTTCCCACTGCCATAATATAGTTGCCATCTGCCTTTTCTGTAAATAATTTCATGTTCTACCAAATTACTTGCAGACGTAGTTGTAGATCTAGAAGGGATTAGCATGCAGAAGGCAACTCAGCCTTTGTCTTCACTCATAAACACATTAGGCTGTCATAAAGTAAGTCTGTTCACACATTTCACATAGCACTACGAACACTTAATTACTTGATAAAACAAACTTCACTGCAAAGAAAATTGAACATATAGCTATTGTATATTTCTGAAAAAGAATATCTAAATATTATTTCCAATGACGCTCCGCTTCTCCATTTCATCCAGAAAATAACCTTTTTTTTATGCTTCATTTGAAAGATGTGTTATTGGTGTTAAATGTTTGTAATCCCGACACTGAGATAAAAACAAAATCCTGGATAGACGAATCCCAATAAGCGTGGCATCCTGTGAGATAGTTGGTCAATGTTTCTCGTTGACCAACCTGGCTTATATCATGGCTCGGTGTCCAGAGCAGTAGATCACTCACAAATTCTTGTTTTGCTTGCCAGCAGTGTCTTTCAAAGTGCATTCTCCTAGACTGGCTGTCACCCAATCTGTTCTGTTATTTAAACCATGACTAACAGGGGATAAAGAGAAGAATCTATACATTTTCTAAGGCTATTAGTGTGAAGTGAACACCACGGAGTATAATGGAACCTGAATTTGGCTCACAATTCCCCATTTTTGTGCTAATAGCCATATCACTACCCACACATTCTTCAAGAGATTAATAATTCTGTAATTAGCTATTTTTGAGTAACTATTCTAGTTTTTTCATATATAACATAATTATTTTAAAGATATTTTTATGTTTATACATTCTTTTTATAGATAAAAATATTTGAGTAAATGCTCTGTTTATAATAAACAGTATTAAACAACATTTACCGGCCTGAATGTACGAGAAATTTTCACAGAAAATATTTGTCTCCCGACAAGATTCGAACCTGTATCCTATACGGAACCGTCATATAGCTTGACATACCTTAACCGATTGAGCCACGGAGAATCGGTCGATTGGCCAAGTCGGTTTTACTGCTTTTAAACTTCAATCTTCCATGAATCTCTCACGCACATTCATATCTGCTCATGGCGTATCAAATGTAAACAAAGACGTCATACATTATGAAATGGACTAAGTCCGACAATTATTTAAAGATATTTTTTATGTTTATACATTCTTTTTATAGATACAAATATTTAAGTAAATGCTCTGCTTATAATAAACAGTATTAAACAACATTTGCCGGCCTAAATGTCCGAGAAATTTTCACAGAAAATATTCGTCCTCCGACAATTTCTCTGTGAAAATTTTCTGTGAAAATTTCTCGGACATTCAGGCCGGTAAATGCTCTGGACACATAGCCATGCCACAAGAAACCTTTCCTGTGGCATGCCTATGTGTCCAGAGAAGTAGATCCCATATAAAACAATGGCAAAATAAGGAACGATATTCATAGTATGAAACGTTAATGGTAATGGTAACTGTTTCCTCATAAGGAAACATCTGGCGTTCTGTTGCCCTTCGTTGAAATTTATAAAATCTCTGTTCTTAGAAAGGTTTTTTTCAGAAAAATAGGTTTCTCAAGTCTAGTAGCTGTTATTGATCTTTCCTGTGTTGATGGAAGCTTCTTTTTTTTAAATTGTTTCTGCTTGTAAAAGGTTTTCAAGTAATGTGGGTTTTTCTTATCTGCTACAGTTTTTGCTTGTGATTTTGCAGTGCGAGTCGACATAGTGCGAAGAAGGAGGGGTCTTCGCCGAAACGTACAAGCTTCAAACGCACGAAGTCATTTAAAACATCGATAAATATCAGACTAACAGAATGAGATCGAGAAGGATAAGTAGAAGAAAATCCCGATAGGGTAGGAGCTGAATAGGCTTCACTTTCCAGTTTAAAAAAAAGCGTCTCCGCGTCCCTGTGGGTGATGACTTATTTTCCACCCTATTTTCCACAAGCATGAAAAAACGTTGCAAGTCTCTGGCTACTTTATCGCTATTAACATGGAAAGTGCTCAAACGAAGTAGATTCTTTAGTTCCACAACTTCTAGCTACACACATTGTAGCGAACCGGCCTCATTCCATTCTTGTTCCAATGGTGAAATGTTGGTTCCATTTGAGCAAAGATTCTTTCCATGAACTTGTGCTTAGTGGAACCAACACCCAAGAGGATGTTTCCCGATCATTACAATCGTAACCCCTTCATTTCTAGAGATAAGCGTTATCTGTATAGGCTGTGACTCTAATTTTGTAAACCTCTAGATTGAGTGGCACTCAGGTCATATAGAAAGGGCACATAATTGTAAACAATATTTAGAGGAAGAATGAAAAAGAGAAGAAAGGCCGGGATATAAAACAATAAGTAGAAGGAAGAGAAGATAAATAAAGCTGGCTGGCAGGGAAAGAATAAAAGAGTAAGAGAAAAAGAATGAAAAAAAAGAGCGGTTGAAACAAAATTACAATGTAGAGTTGAAGTCATGAAAGAATAGAAAAGAAAGAAAGAAGTAGAGTAATGTGAAAAGGAAGACGGTAGGGAAGTAAAGAAAGGAAAGAAACAAAAGAACAAAGAATGTGGCAAAAGAGACGAAGAGGACGAATAAAAAGAAAAGCAAGGAAAATGATATAGAGGAAAGAAGCGAGGTAAAAGAAAGTATAGAAAGTAAAGATTGGAAGGAAAAACACGCAGAATGGCGATAAAAGGGATGAGAAACAGAAAGAAAAGATAAAAAAGAAAGTTAAACGTGAAAGACGTGATGTAGAGAAAGTATAGAAAAGAAAGAGACAAAAGAAAAACACAGAAAAATATAAAGAGAAAAGAAAAGAATAAAATGGAAAGTTAGTGAGAAAAAAATTGCACAATAGCGAGAAAAATGATAAAGATGAGAAAAGAACGAAAGTAAGGAAAAAGAAACAGAATAAAGAGGAAACGAAGTGGGAGGGAACGAAGAGAAAGGAAAGAAAGGAAGGAAAAAGAAACAGAATAAAGTGGAAACGAAGTGGGAGGGAACGAATAGAAAAAAAGAAAGGAAGGAAAAAGAAACAGAATAAAGTGGAAACGAAGTGGGAGGGAACGAATAGAAAAGAAAGAAAGGAAGGAAAAAGAAACAGAATAAGGAGGAAACGTCGGGGGAGTGAACGAAAAGAAAAGAAAGAAAGGAAGGAAAAAGAAACAGAATAAAGAGTAAACGACGGGGGAGTGAGCGAATAGAAAATAATGAAACGAAGGAAAAAGAAACAGAATAAAGAGGAAAGGACGGGGAAGTGAACGAACAGAAAATGAAGAAAGGAAGGAAAAAAAAACAGAATAAAGAAGAAACGACGGGGCAGTGAACGAAGAGAAAAGAAAGAAAGGAAGGAAAAAGAAACAGAATAAAGAAGAAACGACGGGGGAGTGAACGAATAGAAAAAAAAGACAGGAAGGAAAAAGAAACAGAATAAAGAGGAAACGAAGTGGGAGTGAACGAATAGAGAAGAAAGAAAGAAAGGAAAAAGAAACAGAATAAATAGGAAAATACGGGGGAGTGAACGAATTGATAAGAAAGTTAGAAAGAAAAAACAAACAGAATAAAGAGGAAACGAAGTGGGAGTGAACGAATAGAAAAGAAAGAAAGGAAGAAAAAAGAAACAGAATAAAGAGGAAACGAAGGGGGAGTAAACGAATAGAAAAGAAAAAAGGAAAAAAAAAAAGAAACATTATAATGAGGAAACGTTGGGCAGTGAACGAATAGAAAATGAAAAGGAAGGAATAGTAAAAAAGGAAACGACGGGAAGAAAACGGGAATTGAAAGAAAGGAAAAAAGTAAAAAAGAGGAAACGACGGGGGAGTGAACGAATAGAAAAGAAAGAAAGGAAGGAAAAAGAAACAGAATAAAGAGGAAACGACGGGGAAGTGAACGAATAGAAAAGATAGAAAGGAAGGAACAGAAACAGAATAAAGAGGAAACGACGAGGAAGTGAACGAATAGAAAAGAAAGAAAGGAAGGAAAAAGAAACAGAATAAAGAAGAAACGACGGGCGAGTGAACGAATAGAAAGGAAAGAAAGGAAGGAAAAAGAAACACAATGAAGAGGAAACGACGGGGAAGTGAACGAATAGGAAAGAAAGAAAGGAAGGAAAAAGAAACAGAATAAAGAGGAAACGACGGGGAAGTGAACGAATAGAAAAGAAAGAAAGGAAGGAAAAAGAAACAGAATAAAGAGGAAACGACGGGGAAGTGAACGAATAGAAAAGAAAGAAAGGAAGGAAGGAAAAAGAAACAGAATAAAGAGGAAACGACGGGGAAGTGAACGAATAGAAAAGATAGAAAGGAAGGAAAAAGAAACAGAATAAAGAGGAAACGACGGGGAAGTGAACGAATAGAAAAGAAAGAAAGGGAGGCAAATGAAACAGAATAAAGAGGAAACGACGGGGAAGTGAACGAAAAGAAAAGAAAGAAAGGAAGGAAAAAGAAACAGAATAAAGAGTAAACGACGGGGGAGTGAGCGAATAGAAAATAATGAAACGAAGGAAAAAGAAACAGAATAAAAAGGAAAGGACGGGGAAGTGAACGAACAGAAAATGAAGAAAGGAAGGAAAAAGAAACAGAATAAAGAGGAAACGACGGGGAAGTGAACGAATAGAAAAGAAAGAAAGGAAGGAACAGAAACAGAATAAAGAGGAAACGACGGGGAAGTGAACGAATAGAAAAGAAAGAAAAGAAGGAAAAAGAAACAGAATAAAGAAGAAACGACGGGCGAGTGAACGAATAGAAAGGAAAGAAAGGAAGGAAAAAGAAACACAATGAAGAGGAAACGACGGGGAAGTGAACGAATAGAAAAGAAAGAAAGGAAGGAAAAAGAAACAGAATAAAGAGGAAACGACGGGTGAGTGAACGAATAGAAAAACAAGAAAGGATGGAAAAAGAAACAAAATAAAGAGGAAACGACGGGGAAGTGAACGAATAGAAAAGAAAGAAAGGGAGGCAAATGAAACAGAATAAAGAGGAAACGAAGGGGGATTGAACGAATAGAAAAGATAGAAAGGAAGGAAAAAGAAACAGAATAAAGAAGAATCTACGGGGAAGTGAACGAATAGAAAAGAAAGAAAGGGAGGCAAATGAAACAGAATAAAGAGGAAACGAAGGGGGAGTGAACGAATAGAAAAGATAGAAAGGAAGGAAAAAGAAACAGAATAAAGAGGAAACGAAGGGGGATTGAACGAATAGAAAAGATAGAAAGGATGGAAAAAGAAACAAAATAAAGAGGAAACGACGGGGAAGTGAACGAATAGAAAAGAAAGAAAGGGAGGCAAATGAAACAGAATAAAGAGGAAACGAAAGGGGATTGAACGAATAGAAAAAGATAGAAAAGGAAGGAAAAGAAACAGAATAAAGAAGAATCTACGGGGAAGTGAACGAATAGAAAAGAAAGAAAGGAGGCAAATGAAACAGAATAAAGAGGAAACGAAGGGGGAGTGAACGAATAGAAAAGATAGAAAGGAAGGAAAAAGAAACAGAATAAAGAGGAAACGAAGGGGGATTGAACGAATAGAAAAGATAGAAAGGAAGGAAAAAGAAACAGAATAAAGAGGAAACGACGGGGAAGTGAACGAATAGAAAAGAAAGAAAGGGAGGCAAATGAAACAGAATAAAGAGGAAACGAAGGGGGGTTGAACGAATAGAAAAGATAGAAAGGAAGGAAAAAGAAACAGAATAAAGAGGAAACGACGGGGAAGTGAACGAATTGAAAAGAAAGAAAGGAAGGAAAAAGTAACAGAACAAAGAAGAAACGACGGGAGAGTGAACGAATAGAAAGGAAAGAAAGGAAGGAAAAAAAAACAGAATAATGAGGAAACGACGGGGTAGTGAACGAATAGAAAAGAAAGAAAGGAAGGAAAAAGAAACAGGATAAAGAGGAAAGGACGGGGGAGTGGACGAATAGAAAGGAAAGAGAGAAATTAAAAAGACACACTACAACGAAAAAATAGAAAAGAAATAACGGAAGGCGAAAAACGGAGAATGTCAAGAAAAATACGAAGAAGAGAAGAAATAAAAAGAAGGAAACGAAGAAAGAAAAACGAGGAAAAGACGAAAAAGCGAAAGTATAGAAAACGAAAAAGTAGCAAAAGACAAAAGAATAACGAGGAAAAAAATGAAGAAGCGAATGGATATAAAGGAAAAAAGTAATAGAAGGAATAAAACGCGAAAAAAAAGACAAAGAAAAAAAAGCATAGAAAGGATAAGGAGGAAGAATAACGGGGAGCAGAGACGAAGAAGAGAAAGTATAGAAAGTAAAGAGAGAAAGGAGAAAGAAAAGGAGTAAAAAGACCAAGATAAAGTATAGAAGAGAATGAGAGAAAGGAAAAGGGGAATGAATAACGACGAAAGACACGACGAAGAGAAAGTATAGAAAGGAAATAGAGGCAAGAAAACGAGAAAGAATAACAAGGACGGAGACCAAGAAAAAAAAAACGTCTAGAAAGGAAAGAGACAAATGGGAAAAAAAGAAGGAGTCAATAGACCAAGAAGATAAGAATGGAAAGAGAGGATGAAAAAGGAGAATAAATAACCACGAAAGAGACGATGAAGACAAAGTATAGAAAAGAATGAGAGGAAATAAAAGAAGAAAATATATCGAGGAAAGAGACGATGAAGAGAAAGTAGAGAAAGGAAACAGAGAGAGAGGAAAAGAAGAAACAATATCGAGAAAAGAAACGAAGAATATTTACAGAAAGAAAGAGAGGTTGGAAAAAAGAGAACGAGAAAGGAGTCGAACAAGATAGCTTAGGGAAAAGGAAAAAGGGAGGAAAATCACATGAAATTTGAGAAAAGAAAGACAAAGTGTACGCGAACAAAAGAAAGATAAAAAGAAGACGTATGTCGTATAGTGAGGAAAAAGACGAGGAACCAAAAATTTGGAAATAAAAGCGAGAATGGAAAAGAATAATGAAAAAGAAAAATATGGCCGAGGACAAGAACAAAAAAAAAATGAAAATGTTGAGGAACATACAAATATAAAATTAAAAAAAAAAAACAGAAGAAAAGGAAAAGACTTGTGAAAAAATGTGTTTGAAATTTTCGACATGATAAATTCTAAGAACCTTAGACAGTATTTGCAGAAATGAACTGAATGATACCAAAAGATTAAAATATCACCCAACCAAAAAAATCTGAATATTCCCTAAGAATCTGCTACGGATTTAAAAAAAAAATCGTTTCATTTTTCTATCGTGTTAGGTTTTGTTTTATCAATTTAATCTTATTTGTATAAACGGTTAATGTTTTATTGAAACTTTTCCTCCAAACGTTCATACAAAAGAGAATTTGAAAGCCAAAGATAAGAAATGTATTGATGCCGGAAAGTAAAATTGAGTCAGCAATAGAAAGAAAAATAAGAGCAAACGAAAAAGGCGATTTTGAAGGTGAAAATACGACTAAAAATTGAAAGACAGATTTTGTGGTAATGACAGATTGATAACTGAAAGAATGAGAGGTAAGGTGATATGGGAAACGGCGAAAGCAGAAGGGCGGAAAATACTGATAAAAGACATGAAATACAGATGAACTAAGAAACAGTAATAATTAAAAGATATGGACGGGAGAAATACGGTGACAATTTGGGTAATAATTCGATAGGAAATGATTGGGAGAACTAGGCAGAACCAGAGAGAATTTAGATGGAAAAAGGACAGTAAGGAAAAAGATTGAGCGAGAGCTAAATAAGATGGAAGAAATGAACGTGAAAAATAGTTAACATTATTTACCTTATTCGGACTATTGTCCTCATCTTTGTCGCCATATTTATTTATTTATTTATTTTTTAAGCGTATCACCCCAAGCAAGGCGGGAAACCACTAGGACGCAAGGGGTTACTGAAAATTTAGAACAAGATCAAAGTGATAGAAGAAAGGATGAGGAGAAGAGTAGTGGATAGATCAAGGCAACTGGAGATGTCGATTGACATTACATTTGAATAGCTGGAGATTATAACTCAGGGAAACTGGAATAGGGAAAGGAGTTCCACAGGCGAGAGGTGGAGTAGAAGAGACGGCTACAAGTAGGAGTTTCGACAGTGAAGGGGTGAGAGCGGGATGCCAGCCTCGTATGGCGCTTGAACTCATGAAGTCTGGGAACCAGCGAATGTAGTTCCTCGGAGAAATTGCCATGAAAGTATTTGTAAAACAGACAGAGAAAGGCGACAGCGCGTATGTGAGAAAGTGTCTGTAGACGAGATGCCAGATCAGAGCCAATTATATTGCATATCCGCCTCTGAAGCCTATCAAGAACCCCGAGGCAAACAGAAGGGGCTCCAGGCCATATATGGCAGCAATACTCCATGCAAGGGCGAATTGTTGATTTGTAGATCTGGAGGATCAAAAATTTCCTGGCGCGGCACCGGGAGCAAAGTTTCCTTGCTGTGGACGAAGCAATTGACTCAATGTATTTGTTCCATCTCGGGTCAGCAGTCAACGTGAGACCGAGCAGTCGCAGAGAGGTGCTCTCGAGCAGTTGAGCGTCAGACATTCTAATGGAGGGCAAGGAAGGATATCTGTGGTGATTAAAAGAGAGCAGTTTTGTTTTTGATGCGTTAAAGTTGACCAACCAATTCCTGCCCCAGTTCACAACCGATTGGAGGTCCTTTTCGAGACGCACGGCCAGGTTACAACGTTTCGGCCGTTGTATGCTCCGGCCTTATTCAAGTGGTGTCATGAGTCCTTGAAGACAGACATAGCCTTATTTTATTAAGGTTAACGGCCACTTCACGTTGAAACATCCGTTCCAGTAAGACCACTTAATAAAATAAGATGTCTTTCTTCAAGGACACATGGCACAGTGGATAAAGGTGTTGGTTAGATCCAGTAGCAGGAGCCAAAGAGTGTGAGTTCAATACCTGGTTAAGGTGGTAATTAACAAGAGATAACTGATAACTGACATCCATTAGACATGGTACGTAGAACTAGAACAGTCTACCCCACTGAGCGAAATAAAGGGTTCAGTTCGACCTTCCAACCACCTGAAGAAGGCCGAAACATTGTAATAAATATGGCGACAAAGATGAGAACAATAGTCCGAATAATATAAATTGTGTACATAATTCCTCATCTCAGAGATATAGACAGATACTGAAAAAAAGTTGATTGAGAAAGAGATTCGATGGAAAAAACGAAAAGGTGAAAGAGGTTGTGTTAAAAAGAAATTAGATGGAAGAAAACTGAAAGAGAGAAAAGGGTTTTGTGAGAGAGAAATTAGATTGATAGAAAAATGAAAGTTTGAAAAAGATTGATTGATAGAGAAATTAGATATTAAAATCTGAAAGTGTTAGAAAAAATTGTGATGGAATAAACGAAACTAAGAAAAAGTTTGATTAGAGAGAAATTGGATGGATGAAACCGAAAGGGAGAAAGAAATTATGTGACAGAGGAATTAGATGGAGAGAAAAAAACGAAAGTGTGAGAGAAATTACATGGAAAAGCTGAAAGGGAGAAAAAGGTTGATTAAAACAGAAATTAGATGGGACAAATCAAAGAGGGAGAAAAAGGTTTAATGAGAGAGAAAGTAAGGGAAAACAGAAAAAAGAAATGGTGAAAGAGATTGAGGGAGTGAAAAAATAGATAGAAAAACAGAAAGGGAGAAAAAGTTTGGATGAGAGAGAAATTAGACGGAAAAAAGAAATGGTGAAAGAGATTGAGGGAGTGAAAAAATAGATAGAAAAACAGAAAGGGAGAAAAAGTTTGGATGAGAGAGAAATTAGATGGAAAAAAGAAATGGTGAATGAGATTGAGGGAGTGAAAAAATAGATAGAAAAACAGAAAGGGAGAAAAAGTTTGGATGAGAGAGAAATTAGATGGAAAAAAGAAATGGTGAAAGAGATTGAGGGAGTGAAAAAATAGATAGAAAAACAGAAAGAGAGAAAAAGTTTGGATGAGAGAGAAATTAGATGGATTGAACTGAAAGGAAGAAAAAATCGCGAGAAGAAAATTAGTGTTAAAAAAACAAAACTGTGAAAGAGATTAAAAGAGAAATTAAAAAAAAAACAGGAAAGTAGAAAAAGGTTAAGTGAGAGAGAAATTAAATGGAAAAAGTTGAAATGGATAAAGAGATTGAGTAGGAGAAAAATTAGATGCAAAACACGAAAGGGTGAAAGAATTTCAATGAGAGAAAAATTAGATGAAATAAACTGACATGGAGAAAAAAAAGGTTGAGTGAGAGAAAAATTTGATGGAAAAAATAAAGGAGAGGAAAAGTTTGAATGAGGGATAAATTGGATGAACAAAACCAAAAAGAGAAAGAAAATAGGGAAGAGAGAAATTAGATGAAAAAAAAAAAAATGAAAATGAGAAAAAGGTTGAATGAGAGAGAAATTAAATGTGAAAGAATGAAACGGAAAAAAAAGTTTAGAGAGAGACAGAAATTAGAGCGAAAAAACGAAAGAGTGCAAGCGATTGATGAAGAAATTAGATAGAGAAAAAAATGAATGGGAGGAGAAAGTTGAACGAGAGAGAAATTGGATGGAAAAGACGAAAAAGTCTAAGAGATTGTGTAAGAGAGAAATTAGATAAGAAACAAAGTGAAAGGAAGAAAAAGGTTGGGTGAGAGAGAAATTGGATGGGGAAAAAAACGAAAGGTTGAAAGATTGAGGGAGAGAGGAATGATATGGAAAAAAAGAAAACTAAAGTGATAAACGTCGGGAATACGTTCGAGGGAGAAGTTGAGAGTTAGAGAGAGAGAGAGAGAGTGTGTGTGTGGTGGGGGGGCGAAAATGAATACCGAGTGAAAATAAAGAGAGAGGGAAAAGCAACAAGTGCTAAAGAGTGAAAAAGGCAAAGTAAACATTGGAAGAAAAAGAAATTCGTTTAGAAAGGGAAAGAAGAGAATGAAAATTGGCATCTTTATAAAGCGATATAAATCAATGTTATGTATTTTATACAATGAATAAGAAATGAGAGAACAAGACTTTTAGTGAAACAGAGAGAGCAAGGAGGGATAATGTAAATTTGAAAATAAAGAGATTAAAGAAGAAGAAGAAGAAGAAGAAGAAGAAGAAGGAGGAGGAGGAGGAGGAGGTAGGTAGAGAAGAAGAAGAGGAGATAGAGTAAGAGGAGGAGGAGGTGAAGAAGAAGAAGAAGAGGAAGAAGAAGAAGAAGAAGGGGAAGAAGAAGAGGAAGGAAAAGAAGAAGAAAAAAAAATGAAGTCGGAAAGAAAAAGAAGAAGAAGTAGGGGAAGAAAAATGAAGAGGATGAAGAAAATGAGGTTAAAGATGTATAAGTAGGGGAAAAATAAGAGAAGGAAGAAAAAAGGGCGAAGAAGAAAAAGAAGTGGGTGGGGAAGAAGAAGAAAAAGAAGAAGAAGAAAGGGAATAAGAAGATGGTGAAGAAAAAGGAGAAGAAAAAATGCGGTTGTCATTTGTAAGATAGTTAAATAATTCGCAAGATAATATTTAACTCCACCTTTAAAAGAAAAATAAAAGGCCATCATCTGTTTGCCTTTTGACATTGTTTACTGATAAAGTTGGAAAAGATTAATAAATTCATCTTAAATTGCAAAATCCAAACAAATAGTTGGCAAAATAGGAAAGACAGGAAATAAATCTAAAAGTCCAATAGTTGCTACGATTGTTCAATTTAAAGTGACATCTATATGACAGTCACAAATCATAGAAAAATGACCGGAGAAAAAAAATCTAATTTCTAATATTGTCAATTCTAAGCAGCAGTGACAAAAGAAAAATAAGTTTTAACAGGTGGATGCTTTACCGCATTCCAACGAATGTATATATATACATTTTAATTTTTGCCTTGAAAAAGTCGGAAGACGAAACGCGCCGGCAAAATGTATGATTTTTTTCCAATTGTCATTTGATACCAATCTGTCTTGTCCACAGAATTCATCTGGGAATTTAACTATATATATATATATATATATATATATATATATATATATATATATATATATATATATATATAATTGTGTATTTTCCTATAGAAGTTTCATTAAAGGTGACTGACAAGATGCTGCTATTAAGCTTTTCATTTAATATATCTTGTGTTCCTATAAGTCTTTTTTTTTTCATGACATAAAGTGGGTAAAAATTGTTCAATTGTTCTGCATATATGAGCGTTTTCGATTATTCTTTTAGTTATTAGGGATCTTTATGTAATTATATAGTATATGTTTTATGTACAGATTTATAGGGATGTTTTATTTTCCAAACACGGTCCGCATATTGTGACCATGTTCATAGTTGATGTTATTGACTGTCGGCTATTCCTTTTTATTATTAGTGTTTCCTTTATTTTTAGTCTTGTTTACATATGGATGGGGCTATTACCCTTGTATTTTCTACAGGTATATTACGGAAGGTGATTAGTAAGTCTCCTTGTGTGTTTAAATGGATCCTCATTTAGCGGTGATCAGAGAGGTGTAATGTGAGTTTTCTCGATATGCATGCAGTAGTGTGTCCAATATAATCAGCCATAAGTTTGGTTTGATCAGGAAGACAGTTTCTTATGGTGCATGTGATTTCATAAACAATATTCGTTCTCTGTAATTTAGATCTTGCAAGTGGGCGTGTTGTTATTGTTGACGATAAGTTTAGCTGTTTTAATGTTTTATAGTAGATAATCTAATTTTCTTTTCTCGATCACTTGCGGTTGTGTAAAATATTTGTATGAGAAAATTCATATTTTCATATTTAACGTTTATTTACCTTTTAGAAAATACTAATGTTATTGTTTTTATCACTATATACAGTATTGCTATTAGTTAAATTAGAAATAAATAATCTGATCTGGTGATCGATGAGGTAGTTCGGAAAACCGTTGTTAACTAGCGTCTCTTCCATAATATTGAGTTCTTTAAAGAAAATGGGATGGGAAAGTGAATTCTCGTGTACTTTCTTGAGGAAATTGTTTATATTTTTATAATGCCTATTTTATGTCTAAGTAGACATTCACTCATAAAAATATTCAGGAAAAATATTCATCAAAATCTTACACAAACACTTCCCCTAATCAAGCAATCGCCACAAATTTTTCAACAAATAAACAATAATAATAAGCTACAGTTGCACCGAGAACATGACACAAATAATAGAAAATCACAAAAAGGAAACTATCATCAAACCAATCGAACAAATTAAACCCACGTGTACTTTGCAGAATAAAGAACGAATGTCCTTTAAACGGCAATTGCTTACAAAAAATGTAATATACGAAGCTACGGTAAAATCATCAAATAACGAAAAAAGTATAGACAGGAGTAACTGAAGAACCCTGAAAACAAATAAACCACGCTCACAAACATCTTTCTCAAATAGTAAATACGCTAACAGCACAATGCTTTCCAAGCTTATCTGGAAAATTAAAAACAAAAAGCAAATTACACTAAAAATAACATGGAAAATAAGGAAAAAAAATATCAGGCTACAACAATCAATCCAAAAACTGCAAACTCTGCTTGAAGGAAAAATATCTGTAATTATCTTCCCAGACAAAACGAAACTACTAAATAAACAATCAGAACTCATCTCAAAATACAGACACGAAAACAAATTTTTACTGCGTTACATAAAAACTGAAAAGAATAAATAAATAAAATAGAATAAAAAAACAAAAACTAGTAAAATAAATTAATCCAAATAAATTAAATAATGAACAAATTAGCAAACCACTCCCGCCGAAATGACCGTTAGAATAGATTACCCACATTGCACTACTGACACGTATATATAATAGAACCTCCACATTAACCCCGCACTAAATGCAAACACACACACATATATATGTGTGTGTGTGTGTGTGTGCGTGTGTGTGAATTTATTTTGTTTATAATCCAGCGTTACTTCTTCCCTTCCTCATAATTTGTTTATTTTTATTACTTATTTTTAATTATCCATACCAACTTCCTCTCCTTCTTCTCATTCGTCTTTTTCTTCATCTTCTTACCTTTTTCTTATTCCATTTTTTCTTTTTCATCTTCTTTTCATTCGTCGTCTTCTTTTTCATCTTTTCCTTCTTCTGTTCCTTATTTTTCTTGGTCATGTTCTTCTGATTTTTTTCATTCGTCTTCTTCGCTTTTTCTATTCTTCTTCTTGTTATACTCTTTATTATTATACCATTTCTTCTTCTCATTCTTCGTCTTCTTTCAATTATTATTATTATTATTATTATTGTTATTATTCCTCTTTTTCTTCTTTTTCTTCTTCTCATTATTCGTTTCTTTCTTGTTATTTTTATTCCCTTTCTCCCTCTTCTTCCCCGTCTCGTTATTTCTTTAATTCTTATTTTAATCCTTTTGTTCCTCTTCATCGTATTATTCCATTTTTCTTCTTATTACTTTTATTTTTTTTCTTCTTCATATTCTTATTATTCATTTTCTCCTTTCTTTTCTATTCCTTCTCTTCTTTTTTTTATTGCTTCTCTTCTTTTGCTCGTACGAATCTTCGACCTCATTATATGGAACAGTGTGTAAAAAAAATGTATGTCTGCTCAAGGATATTCGCTGAATATAACTTTTAAAGGAATATCACATACATATATATATATAGGAGGAACGGTGGAGCAGTGGATAGCGGCTTGGATTGAGGAATCGCAGAGCCGAGTTCGAATTCCAGTCGAATCCATTACATTTCACTTACGTGCTAATACGCTTGGGAAAGGTATGTATCCTCTTCATCTCCCTCCAGCTATGGGTAAAATAGCAGGACAGACTGGGTTCTATAGCCTTGGATGGTTTAGGAGAAGGACAACTCTGAATTCAAAACCTGCGGAGGGTCGTTTGGGAACCTTGTGGCATGCATTCGGTGCACCAGGTTATCTGTATTCGTCCCTTCAAAAAGTGTGGCTGGTCCTGCACGAGGCCTTCACTACTATAATCAAATCTCATGTGCCGATGTCGGTTTCCTGGGGACTTCGGCCTGACCCTCATACGTCGATTATATATATATATATATGTGTGTGTGTTTGCAAATTTTAACGTGAAATTTTATTTGAAGCTTTTACCAACAGAAATGCCAAGTGATGAATAACCGGAACAATTGGTGTCTCTCGGTTTGAAAACCTCTCTCTTTAAAATAGAAAAGAAGAATTGGAGTCACTACATGTTTTAATGCAGACGCTACAATGTGTTATGAAGGTTTTTGTTCTGAGATGGTATAGTGATTTTCTAGTTGTAGAAGGAAACTGCAACACTTCTCGCTGTTCTGTAGTTGAGAAACCTCGTTTTATTCGAACGTCCAATTGAAAGACAAGCAGAACCAAGATAAATTACAACGCTTCCTCCTTTTAAAATCATCTAACCACCGACAGCGTTAAGATGTATTAGCGACTGGCACCAAGCCCTTCAAACGCTGGGTGCTCAAAAACCGGGGAACCAAATACACTTCAATTATTGAATATTTCCCAACTGTTTTTGAATGCATACTAATGTTGCTATGCTTTTTTGGCGGGTGAGCCCAGACTCGGTATGACTTTATACAATCACATGATTTAGTAGCTTGAGAGATATAAGAATCAGAAACATTTCAAGACGGCAGGGCCACCTCGACGTAGTGTAATGGCTAACTAACTGTCTCGTTAAATCAGTTATTATTTTAGTAGTGACTTCAATCCCCATATTAGTCCGCCGTACTTTCGGCCTTGTGCCACATCTAAGCTACACTTAGTAAATCATTTACGGGCATTTCGACGAGGTGTAATGGTTAGTAAGCTTGTCTCGCTAGATCAATTATGATTGTATAATGAGTTCAATCCGCAATGAGTGCCCCATACTTTCGGCCTTGTGCCATATCTAAGCCACGCTTAGAAAATCACTATTCTAAAACGACAGATTTATTCGCCTTGCGAGGATTAGCGCTTAAGGCCACATCACGTTGAAACACCGTTTCCCGTACGATCACCGAAGTTAAGCAACGTCGTGCCTGGTCAGTCAGTCAGTGGCTAGATGGGTGGGTGATTGAGAATCATGAGATTAAATAGTTCCGTAAGATTCTATTAATGAACACAGAAAAATCTTAAATGCATAAATACTTAGATACTGTATAAATTATCGTGACTGGAATTAATTAATCCCACTCTCTCTCTCTCTCACACACACACATATATATATATATATATATATATATATATATATATATATATATATATATATATATATATCATAAAAGAATTCAATATATATATTACTTATATGAACAATATATAGTGTTAATCTTACCTAACATATTGAATATTGTTATTTTGAGGTTGCCGGCTATAATTATGCATAGAAACTGCAGTATGAATTTTATTTAAAAACTAAAATATATATAGGCCACGGTAACATAAATTTTATTGTTACATTATCAGATATGGATGAATCAATTATTATTTTATCATTTTCTAATACTGGCCTGCTTGTATTCTATTACATACATATCTCTTTAAACCAAGTTTTTTTTTGTTAAATTTCTTGTTTTCGCATTAACTCTACTTGCAATAACTTTTATTGTGATTCACTGTCCTTCTTTGATTGTAATATGTTTTCACTTCTGATAAACCTCCCTTTTAAGGACAAACCACATACGTCTAGAGGATTTATATCAAGACAGACATTTTTCTGAGATGAAGTATTATGCACACTATTTACACTGTTCGGACTACTGAATCCTTTATTTTGCTTGTTGTGGTAGAATTTTCTTGTCTCACGTGCCATGTCTAATGGATGTCAGTTATCAGTCATCTACTGTTAATTCCCCCCCCCCAAGTTTCTCACCGCTTTGAACTCACACTTTTTTAGGCTCTGTCACTGGATCTAACCACCGCCTTTATCCACCCTGCCATGTGCCCTTGAAGGCAGACGTAGCCTTATTTTATTAAGGTTTACGGCCACCTCACCTTGAAACACCTGTTCCCGTAAGACCACCGATTTTAAGCAAGGTTGTTCCTGGTCAGTACCACGGTGGGTGGCCGCTTGGGAATACAAGACGCTGGAAGCTTGGATATGCAGATGCTGTAATGGATAATGACTCAGAATTGTTGATCGGATAGCCGAGTTATAATACTCGTTGTGTTCGTTATATTCAGATATACCAATGGGAAAAGATTTGAATCTATCTCTTCACCCCCCAGCTATGGGTTAATTAGTAAGATTTGTATATCTAAACCATTATTATCTCCAAAAATATTTATTATAATCTAAAAATATTTTCTAGCTTTAAATATTCTGAAAAGGCTTGGATAAGCCTTAGATAACGAATCAATCAATCAGGCTGATTCTGTAACGAGCCAGGATAATTTATCTCAAAATCAAAAACAAAATATATATTAGCAAATCTTTTTGGTCTCTCGATTGAACTCCTACTTGATGTTGTTGCTGATTCTTTTTTTTTTTAACCAAAACGTTTCGGCCCATCTATACATCAGCCTTCATCAGTTATATATTCAGCAAGAACTGTCATACACTTTTCCTTATTATTTTCTGTTTTGCAATGGCTTTCTTATATCCAGTGCGTCGGTCTTAAACGGAATTGTTTGTTGCCCACACACCCTTATGAACATTTCTACAGATTTCAAATCTGATGATAATTTGGAAATAAACAAGGCAAAACCTTCACAACATCAGAAATACGAAGAAGGATTTTAAATTTGAGAGCTAACTTAGAAATGATAATGAATCTTTTCAAAGTTACTGTTAAAAGTGGAATTGATTTTGCTAATATTTCAATGTTCTGATAAAACATGAATAAATATGGCGTCATTAAAAACGAAGCACACTTCATTATTGAAAAATTCACTTTTCATATCTTCGCATTTCATCTAATCTTTAAAAATTCATTATGCATATTTACAATAATAAAATATTCTAATTAAACGCAGCGCTACAACATAAACCATGATTCGATCTTTTTTCCTGTTGTTGACACATAAAAGATTGCGAGTAAAGGAGGAAATAAGCTTTTCCTCTTTGTAATTAATTCTCTTTTTAGCTATTTAAAACATACGATTTTAATGTTTATTTTTTTGAATTTAAGCATGTATACTTCTAGTTTACAACTAAACGTCAATTATTTACACTGTTTACAAGGTGACTATTGTCCTCTTCATTATTGTTGCCATCACAACGTTTATCTATCCGGGTAACAAATAGAGAAAAATACCTGAGTGGTTCATGGATGTGGGGAAATAGTAATTTTGAGTCAACCCCTGGGCCGAGCTGTGGTTACATGGACTCAGTGTAGACAGGACGAGGAGAAAATAAGCAGGATTAAAAATAAGAGCTAGACGAGATATCTCTAGACATGCGTGGTGAAACGAGAAAAATCTGCCCCCGGAGATTAATTAAAGAATAGAGTTCGGAATTCCCTGTAGGTTCACGGATAGATATATACCTGGTGAAGGCTGGAGACCATTACGCCATGGAACATTTTGATAACAACAACACAGATGAGGATAGTGGTCCAAATATAAATATTTTAAATAATGATAAATCCTCAAATCATTAATTCAGAGATAAGGCACACGCCGATTCCACTCACCTAGAAAAAGAAATCTTCGTTTTAAAAAAGAAATGGTGTAAGAGATACCATTGCTAATTTTAAACCATTTTATGGCGCTTAATTCGATTATTATAGTCAGTATTTTCAGTTAGCTATAGTTTTCTTGCTTTAGATGATGGGCAAAATCAGAAATATTGAGTGTGTTAAGTCATTTATGTTGTGTTGTGTTGTGTGGTTCTATTTTTTTTTTTTTAAAGCAATTCACTCCAAGCAAGGCGGGAGTGCCACTAGCACGCAGGGGCTTACAGAGAATTGAGAACAAGATTAAAGAGGGGTTACAGAGGATTGAGAACAAGAGTAAAGAGACGTTTGGGAAAAGGATACAGAGAAGGACGGCGAACAAGCTCAGGGTGTCAGATGTCGATTGACATTGCACTTGAATATTTGAAGATTATGGTCATCGCGAAAGAAAATAAGAGGAAGGGAGTTCCACAGACGGGAAGTGCGGGAGAAGAAGCTCTTTGAGTAGAAGAGACGGTTACATTTAACCGTTTTGACAGAGAAAGGGTGGGACCGAGATGTCAGCCTGGTTCTATTCTATTTTCTGGTTTTCATTCTATTTATATTCATATCTCTTTAAACCATTTTTTGTTAAATTTCTTGTTTTCGCATTAATTCTACTTGAAATAACTTGCATTGGTATTCCCTGGCCTTCTTTGCTTGTAAAGTGTTTTCCACCCTGATATACCTCCCTTTTAATGAAAACCATATACGTTCTATTGGATTTATATCGAGATAGATAGATAGAAATATACCTGGTGAAGGCTCGAGGCCATTACGCCCTGAGAACGTAATGTAAATAGTGTAAATAATGATAAATACACAAACTAGAAATTCAAAGAGAAATCACACGCCGATTCCACACGTCTATAAAATCTTTCTTTTAAAAAGAAATGGTGCAAGACATATCATAGCTGATTGTAAACAGTTTTATGGCGCTGAATTCGATTATCATTGTATTTTCAGTTAGCTATAGTTTTCTTGCTTTAGATAATGGGCAAAATCAGAAATATTGAGTGTGTTAAGTCATTTGTGTTGTGTTGTTCTATGGGCAGGTGTGCATTCTATTACATTCATATCTCTTTAAACCATTTTTTTTTGGTTAAATCTATTGTGTTTTCGCATTAATTCTTCTTGCAATTACTTTCATTGTTATTCACTGTCCCTCTTTGCTTGTAAAGTGTTTTCCATTCTGATTCACATCTCTTTTAATAACAAACCGCATACATTCTATTGGATTTACATCAATACAGACATGGACTTATGGTTAGAACCTTCGCTTTCCTGTCATGAGACCCGGGTTCGAATCACAATGCCCGAACACCATACCAAGGGCTGACCTAAGCCTTGTGAGTGAACGTGGGTAGACAGAACCCTTGGGAGAACGAAGTCACAAGTCATTGAGTGTTGACTTTGTGCAGAGTGTTACACTAGATAAGGCTTCTCTCTCCCAGAAACTGTGATTAAGGACGGGTCAGTATAGTTGCAGCACAAACCATAGGTGTTGAACAAATACAAATGTGCTTGAGCAAGCGTCTGCAATCGGGATTAGAAAGTCACATTAGTATACTGACATCTTAGGATACGAGTGGCTGCAATCTTTTCGATACTGTTGTTCAGTAGATAACTTCACTTAATTTGTGAAGATATTGCATAATTGATTCATATGGTTTCCGTTAATGGAGAAAATATTGTCCTTTTCGCTATGACACGTTTCTTTTACGTCGCAACCTTTTTTTAGGATTTCTGAAATTTTGAAAGGGTTAAATTCTCCAATTGTTTGGGGTATGCCATCACAAATTTGTATCATAGCTTCACAACAAGATCATCATAGCTTTACAAAAAGGTCAGTAATTTCTCTACCTCTTACCTGTTTGTCTTTTATTGTCTTTAGCCCTAACCTGAGCTGCAAAACATCGGATCCAAATCCCGACAAATGCTGGTTCATTCAACCGACTTAAGCATTCTATTGGCGAAGCTATAGTCTGAAAAGAGAAAAATTATCAGATATGCAAGTTTGGTTAAATATGATGTTAAGAAAATTCATGATAAGAACTTTCGCTTTTTTAATTTTCGCTAATTATCCATGATTTTGTCTCTCTTCAGGCGCCAAAATTATTCTACCATCATTCTTTTTTTATCCAATCGCCCTCGAGATCTGCCCTACATAAAGTTTATATCCCGATGAAAACCTTTTTCCTCACGTATATTGCCAGTCTTTTTTTAAACCTGTCTAAATGACTATGCAGCATATGTAGTGTGATACTAATGTCAATCTCAAGCTACCGGAAGTTTGCTAAAATCTCGTCGACTTGTTCCCTATATTAGTCTGATTTGCCTTTAGCGAGAAAGATTTTTTTAATCCAGCAACAAATTAAATCCAGCCATTTTATTCAGTAACATTCATAGAGTTGACGAAGTTATCATCCTTAATGAGTTTTCGAATGTCAGGTCCATCAAAAATAACTTGTTTCAGTTTTTCTATACTGAGATCAGAAAATGCACTGCACTAATTTTCTATGGACCGGAGGGAAGATGAGATTGTCTCTAGGGAGTACGGGATTAGTTATCACATTTTTCTCTCTGACATTAATTTGTACTCTGACCGGCTCCTATACCAGTGTTGATCTCTGGCCCCGTTTTCCTCATAAACAAAGGTAGCATGAAAACTTCGTGTCGACTGAATCCTGTCTAAGTAAAAAGTTAACCATTTTCAGGATAAAACTCAGTTATGATGAAAGCAATTTATTCTTTACCTTACCTCCTTGATGGATTCATGTTTTACTTTCGGCGTTGTGGAGTGTCCAGTTGGTATTTGGGAATCTTTTAGGGTCCCAGCTATGGCAAATAGTTAACCTTCAATCTGGGCTTAAAACACTATGAAAGTGTAAAAAAATATTTTTAAGTACGAGTAATACGTTTTTGTAAAAAAAATTATTACCAGAAATGAATTTTTGAAGAAAACATTATTACTAGCAATACATTTTTGGAAAAAAAATATTACCAGCAATACATTTAAAAAAATCAACAGTGAAAGTCTTGTCGGCATTAAATAATCCATTGAGGTTGATATATTGTAAAACAAACCAAACCAAAACAATTCGTATCGATGTGTATACATTGGTGCTGTACAGTAAAATGAATTTTAAACTAGGCTTCCAGCAATCAATGAATATTTTCCATGTTTTTTTATCTTAGCCCTGAATACGAAGACGCAGCAAAACTCCTTCGACGTCGTTACAATATAAGGATTCGTTGATTTGATTGGTGTAGTGGACGAATTTAGCATATCTTTTGCGAGAATATGTAACTCTTGTTCCTTTTTTAAAGACATTTTTCTCCTGCTGTCTGAAAGCTAAGACGTCCACCTATTCTTTGTCATTCTCGCCCTTGTCAACAAAATCAACAGCATCTTCAAGCATTTGAAGACAAGAATT